TTGCATACAATCTTCGACATCTTTCCCTCCAGAGCTCACTAAGCACCATAACCCAAAGTAACTTGCCTCTTTGCACAACTGGAGTATCAGAAACCAGGTGGTTGACAACCAACCCCATCGATGCCTCCCAATCTCCTCCTAGCAAAGCAGCAGACTAAAAGACAACCAGCCAAATTTAGTGACTTTTTTCTCTTACAAGGAAGTTGCTTATATTTCACTTCAAATGTGGTACAAAGTTTAGAGTTAAAAAAACCATGGAGAGACAATAGTAGTAAAAGACAAGCAAAAATGAAAGCCCCCGACACAATAGGCCCAACCAAATGCATAAGAGAAATAAACACCAGACCGAACAAAAGAAGAGGCCACAACAGAGGAGCTACATACAACCTTCATCTTTTAATGCCTCCACCGCGGTCGAGCATACCATGGCTATCAAAGAGGAAACCATCGTTGTCTAGAAGAATCCCAAGCCTTTAGCCACCATAAGCCCGGGTAAGTGATCTACACACCCACATAAGTACAAATTGACCAAATTCAACCAAGGTGAAGTAGAGAGATTGACAAGAACCAAAGTCATGCATCTCTGCCTTCTACTTCAACAAACGACATCCAGGTTTCTACGTGAAGATAATACCATTACATCTCAACAATGTAGTCCAAATTGCATTTTAAAGCTTAAACTTACTTTTTACGTTTCTAGTTCACCAAAACGCTTCTACTCAAAATCACAGTTTTATAGCTAATGTAGTTAAAAACGCGCTTTAAAACTTTAAAAACTTACGATTTTACGCTTCTAAATCACCAAAACGTTTCTACATAGAAACGTGATTTTAACTACATTGCATCTGCGGATCAGCGACTCGTTGGTTAATCAAAAAGGTAGATGAGAGATTTGGAGATGAGAAGACAAGTTATGGAGTAGAAACCAAACCCCCCTTTGCCCATAGGCCGAAAGGCTCCCAAGAACTTCTAAATGTGAATGTTGGATTAGAAGTTGGAGCTGGAGCTGGAAACAACCATTTCCCAAGGAGAGGTAGAAGGAAAAGACCTACAGAGGAGGGAAATTGAAAGGTGAAGAAGAGCTAGAAGGAAAGTAAAACATAAAAGATAAATAATAAAAGAGAGCAAAGCAGAAAATGAAGGGGTTGGGTTGCCACCAGTCACCCAACGAGGACGAGGAACTGATATGTAAAATCTAGAGAGAAGTGAGAGTTCTTTTAAATAAGATAGAGAAGACAAGCTTCTACAGACTTTGGTTAGTGCTAGAATTATTTTTCAAAGAAGTATGGTCTGTTGGCACCTCTAGAAACAAAACACCTAATTTTTGTCTTCTTGTCCTTTTGATTTCTATGATCTCTAATGGCGCTGATACCATAACATATTCACAAATAATGTCTTTATAATTTCACAAACAATTTCTCTAGTGCTTTTTTATAATGATATATATATTAAAAATTTAAATATATACTTATTTTGATTAAGTGTAATGAAATTAATTTACGTCTTAAATATATTTTATGAATTCTCTCGACTTTTAATAATATCAGTTATAAATTATGTCTTATGAATAGCTTCAATAAGTGTTTGGAATCCCATGAATAGATAGTTCAACTTGAATTTCTATGGCAAAACAAGATAGTTCTCTTGTAAAAACAGAAATATTTTTGAAAGAGACAAGATATATTGTATCTAAATATTCTATAAACTTAGTCATGTGGTAATTAGAAGTCATGTTCAATTTTATATTCTTTTATAAATTTATTATTAATTGTTTTATTTTTTTTATTCGACTTTCTTCTTGGTTTTGTTGGATTACTAGAGTGTTTCTAAATTCTAATTTCTTTCGTTTCATCTTTCTGTGTTATTGCTCTTAGATCTCGAGTTATACTAGAACAAGGTGTTTGACTTCTTACTATTTTAAATGGTGCTTCCAAATACAAAAGAGGTTTGAAAAAGTTATCTATGGTTGTAACTTCCTTATCTTTGAAACCTAAGTTGTGATGACTTTTTGTTATAGCATAACTAATTTGATATGTTATCGAGAAAGGTTTACTATTTTCTTTGATGAATTCTCTGGTTTGAGTTCGTATTTTATAGTTATGGAGAAATCTAGGCATCCGACCGATAAACTAAATCCTTGTTGGAGGTTAATATCAAATTTTATAATTCTAATCTTAAATTTCTTGATCTCTTGGCTATTATACTTTCGTCAAGATTTACTAGTTTATCATATCTTATTTCGAAATCTATTGAAGCGTTTATGCCGATTTTCATGGTTGTTTTTTGAATAATTTATATTGTATGAATATAACTAATTTTTTTTGTTCTTCCTCTTTTAAATTTTATAATCTTTTCCTTGTTGATAATTTGATTAAGAAATTATCATTGGTTTTGTCAATTGGAACTGCTATTTCTCCTATCTTTCACCATATGTAATTATGTTTTCCCTATCGAATAATCTATTAAGAGAGGGTTTTGAGACAAAATTTTGTCTATTTGATAAAGTGAAGTTAGTTTTTCCTTTTAGTGTTTTAATATCAATTATTCCATCTAGAAAATAATCATCTTCTTCTACCTTATTGATATAATCAAAGATTTCATTATTAGTAGTAAAGGGCATACCTTAATTGCTTTGTTGGTCGATAATTCTGATTTCTTATGTTGTTCGCTTGCTGGTTGTTTGGCTTATGTTTGGTGTTCAACCTTCTGGGATTGAGGATCCAAGGTTGATGGCCTCCAGAAACCAAAGTTTCAAACCTTACAACTCTAGCTTAGAGAGGGTGAGGAAATGTGAGAAATCTATCTCATTCAACTCTGAACCAAAGCTTACATATAGTTCCCTTATTTATAGTAGAGGGGTTAACCAAAAATCGTCATTGCTAACATTACAAAGTTCATAAAGTAAAGATACAATTGCCCAACTTTAAGGGTAGTTGGCCACCCTAGGGTCTATTTTTCTACATTATTGTCCTTGATTCGTCTTTAGTCATCATCACAGGTCCTTGATGTTGTGCACATGGTGCAAAGATGTTCCTCATAAAAACTAAGTGCATCACACATCTGTCTCTTGATATGTTCTTGCAATGGGGCCAATGCTCCTTCCAGTTTTGTGAAATCTTTCATCATTTTTGTAACTGCGGTCCATTCTTCCGCTGATATTGTGTTATTTATACTACCGATGATGACGATATTACTGATGCTATAATTAACCTTGATATTGCTTTCAGGTTTGATGTTGGTTAAAGGTTTGCAGACAGCCATTAATCTCTCGATATGATAATCTAGTTTTTTTCTTAGTCTCCGAAACCATCCCTTGTTGGGTAACCATTGTTTGATACTCTCATTTTAATTACTGCTTTTGTCTTCGAGATTTGTTCTTCTTCGTCTAATATTGGGTAGATTGATGTGTACTTACGGAATAATTCTCTTCCTTTTGCAAAGGATTTGAAATTGTAACACCCAGGTCCGGCAGGACACTAATTTTACCAAAATACCATTGTTAAACTAAAAAAATGCTCAAGAACCAAAAACACTAAAAGCAACGGTAAAATTTTTCATAGATAAAATATTGAAATCACGCTCTTTTAGTTCAAAGCAACACCCTAACACGTGCGCAAACTCAATCCTTAAATTCTTAACATGATATCTAGTCTAATACTCACAAATCACAATCATAAAAAGTAATAACTATATAGTCTCATATGTTGCTACTTACGGAACACCCTGATTAGACATCCTCTGTGATTTTTGTACTGCCCTCCTCTAGCTGGCTGCTCTCGAAATCGTTGCTCTCGAACTCGCTGCTCTCCAACTCCTCCTCTAGCTTCTCATTGTTCTCTTCAATCTGGTGAGTAGGTTGGGGTCAGTCTATGCCCTTACGTTTAAAATCTCTAGTACTTAAAACTATATGAGAGTTAATGTCACCCTCCATAATTTTCGTTCGATTTTCTTGACCTCCTCTCACGATCTGTCGTTGCTTATCTTTTAGTTTCTTTCTTGCGCTTCTGGTCGAATTCACCCATAACCAGAGGAACATGACTCCTCTTCTTCAATTCGGGCATCATGCTTGTTCTTCCTCTTTTCCTCTATCCCGAGCTTGAGACACGCCCTTACTTTCTTCCCCTTCATCTTCTGCATGGGCTTATGGCCCACTTCTCCCCCTTGCCTCGGGTTAGGGCTAAAAGCCCACTCCAGTCTAGATCTTTGATTGGGTCTTGAACCAAAAATCATTTGAGGTGGTTTGAATGTAGGTTTTTAATTGGTGGGATTTGAAAGATATTTGGATCCAAATCCCTCAATAAAAAACCCTGGAAATGTGGATGTAAAATTTAGGCCCATCCTTTCGTTTGGCTTTAGATGATTATTTCCATAAGATCTACTTCTGTTAAAATCGTTGAGTTTTCTCTAGATTCGGCTACCATTTTCTTTTTATTTTGTATATTTGTTATAATTTTATTAATTACATCATTTGCTAATTCTAAATCAGAGTATAATTCCTTTTGTTTTACTTTATATTGTCACTCTAAAATTGTTCTTAAATATTTCTTATTTTCTTCATTTATATTTATTATACATTTCTGATAGTCATTTATTATTTTTCATAATTTTTCAATTTTATTTAAAAGATTTTGTCTTGCCATATTGATTCTACCAAATTTTCTATATATATATTTTTTCTATTATTAAAATTTTTATCTTTCATCCTTTGCTAATGTGGCACCCGACCACAAGAGTTCTTTTCCCTATCAAAGATAAGTTCAACTTTTTTTTTTTTATAGAGACAAGTTCAAAATTTTGTATTTAATGAAACAACATAAATATCCAGAGCTACTTAGTCAACATGGCTACAGGCTATAGGTATACATTATAAAAAACATGGCTATAGGTATCAGACTGTTAATCCTTAATTTTCTTCTGTGGGCCCATGTTTGATCCTATCAAATCCTAATAAATCCGAACAACCACTAATTAGAGCTCTCGTCATTTGGAAAACCCAGCCCGCCTTCTACAGTCTACACTACTCCCATCGGAAGCGTCCAGATGGCGGCGGAAGGCGGCGACCAGTCAATCACCCACTCCACAATCTCCACCAACGGAATCAACATGCACGTGGCCTCCATCGGGATCGGACCGGCGACGATCCTCTTCCTCCATGGCTTCCCGGAGCTCTGGTACACGTGGCGCCACCAGCTCATCTCCCTCTCTGCCCTCGGCTACCGCTGCATCGCCCCGGACCTCCGCGGGTTTGGCGACACCGACGCACCCTCATCTCCGGCCAAGTACACCGCCTTCCACATCGTCGGCGACCTCGTCGGACTCCTCGACGCCCTCAAGATCGACAAGGTCTTCTTGGTCGGGCACGATTGGGGAGCCGCCATGGCCTGGTACTTTTGCAGGCTCCGCCCCGATCGGGTCACGGCGGTGGTCAACCTCAGCGTCCCGCCGCTCCGCCAGTCCCCTGCGTTCAACTTCGTCGAAGCCTTTCGAGCTGCCTACGGCGATGAATACTACTTCTGCAGGTTTCAGGTGCGTACTTTTGCCCAAATATAATTGGCGGAAAATTGAGATTTATGAGGGAGAATTGAGATCCATTGGTCATTTCGATTGCATTGAATCGAAACCCGGACTCTGTTTTGAATGTGGTGCAGGAAGTGGGGAAAGTAGAAGAGGAATTTGCTGAGGTGGAGACGGGTAAGCTGATGGTGAAGTTGTTCACATTATTCAGCAAGCCCGACCCGCCAATGGTGCCGAGAGAAACCGGTTTCCGGGGACTACCCGACCCGCCCAGCTTGCCGTCTTGGCTGTCCGAGGAAGACGTCCAGTACTACGCTTCTAAGTTCCAGAAATCCGGCTTCACCGGCGGCCTCAATTACTATCGAGCGCTCCCCTTGTACACAACACAATCATCACTTCACTTCCATTGCAAAAAAAAAAAAAAAAAAAAAATTCTTTCTATCTCTTGCATAATCTGACTGACTTGAATTTGTTTTCTGTAACTTCGCAGGACAGGGGAGCTGATGGGGCCGTGGGCAGGAGGAGATAGCAAGTACACAGTGCCGGCCAAGTTCATTGTTGGAGATCAGGACGTAGTTTACGTTATGGTGGGGATTAAGGACTACATCCACAGCGAGGAGTTCAAGAAGGAAGTGCCGCTGCTGGAAGAGGTGGTGGTGATGGAAGGAGTGCCTCATTTCCCCAACTTGGTCAAACCTCACGAGATCACTCAGCACATCCTTGACTTCATCAAGCGCTTCTGAGCTGCTTTATCCAACGTCTCTTACAGTTACAGAGCGTGCTTCCTCTGTTTATCGCAGATCATTGTGTTGTCTTATTAGTGTGTTTCAGTCTGGACTATGTCAGTAGCTAGTAGTTTAGCCGATTAATGAATAAGCTTCAATAACTGAAGCCGCATATCTATATTTTACTAGTTTGTACATGGGGAATTATTGTTGTCTTTTTAAGTACACTCCGGTATTTTTATTCAATAATAGTGTGTACTTGAAATTTATGATTGTCTTATTAAGTACACTCTGGTATCTATCTTGTTCGAAAAGTTTCATGTACTTCTGATCGGATGTCACGTACATGCATATATATATAAATGCAAATGTGAATAAAATGTCACAAAACGAAGCAGATGCAAAACACATGGGGAACTAATGGTGTAAATTAGTTCTCTTTAAGCAATGTATGAAAATAAAGGCCAAATATATATTGCAAGATTCCGTACATGGCACATCAATGAATCGGATCCATAAGGTGTCCATATTATTAATAAATTGACTGCTGGAAAATTTTTTGTAACGGTTTGTCCAGCCGATTTTCCCAATATTTGGAAAATATAAACCTTTTTTTTATCATGAAGAATGTAACTAAATCATTTACATCAACATATATAATATACCCCAATAACATATGTACACACACGTATAAACTCCTTAAAGGAAGATAGTAAATAAATAACCAAGAAATGTATGGATTCTTGAGGTTGAAGTGTGGATTAGAAGGATCATCATCAGTAGAGACTTCTTAGTTAAAAGAAGCTCATTTCTCCCATGGGATCCTTATGAACTCCCAAGGAGTAGTACACATTATCCAAAAAAAGCTCATTTCTAATGTCCTCTCGAATCCAATAGTAAGTACATAAACAAGAATCGTAAGGATTCTTGGGGTTGAAGTGTGGATTAGAAGAATCATCATTGGTCTCATCATCAAAGTTCACACGTCCATGTAGTCCTCATCTTCTCTCATGTAATCTTCATCCTCTCTAATGGAGTCTTCATATTCTGCCATGGGATCCTTCTGAACTCTCAAGGAGTAGTACACGTTATCCAAAAGAAGCTTATTTCTAATGTCCTCTAGAATCCAATAATTGGTTGGACGCGCTGCACTCATTTCATTAGACAGCCACTACTCATTACTGTCGTCCAAGTACTACAACTACTCTTCATTAATGACCTCCATCTCAAGAGTATTGAGTTTAATGATCTCTAGATCAGACTCGATGGTGATGACTTCTACAATTTTGTCATCATCATAATCATCTCATGGTGGACTTTAGGCATAGGGGATCCAAAAACCAGCTTTTCAATTCATTTGTCACAATGTGTTGAATCTCCCAAACCAGTGAATTAAAATACACAAAATTTGCTTCAAAATGTATTCAAGAATTTGAATATGAGTTCCTCATACTAAACAAAGTTGAATTTTGGACTCTTCTAATTATTTTGATTATGAGCTCTTTCCAAATTTTGAATCCTATACAAATAATAAAATCAATTTATTTTATTGGGTAAATTACAAAATTGGTCACTGAATGTCTCTATGCTAGAAGAAAACAATATTCTTTTTTAATGCTCGCCTTAAATCCATATCGCCCAACACAAAGAAATGTCTATATGCTAGAAGAAAACGAAATTCGGTAGTGAAAGCAAAATCCATGGTCTGGAAGCCCAAATCTACAACCGTGGATTCTTGGAAGAAATATCCCCCGGTCTGGAGTCTCCATTCCACGACCGGGGATTTCAAGTGCCTGACCATGGAATTTGGCTCAAGAACCACTAAGTTCCATGCGTCGTTTTGGAAATCCACGGTCTGGATGCCATTTCCATGGTAGAGGATTCTTAACGTGGATTTCGGCGTCGAGCCTTCTAAGCTGCAACTAGGGAATTTGGTTCATTAGCCGGTAAAGTTCTAAAATAGAGAGAGAACCCTAGAGAGAGAAAATGGCAAAAAAAACAACCTTGGAAAACTGTAGGAGCGATCTAAGGACATTGAAGCTCGGTCTTTCACCCTCAGAGTGCTTATTTCTTGCCTGGAGCAGATTATCATCCCTCACATGATGATTTCTCTCCCAAGCTTTGTGATTTCTCTTCTCTCCATGGAGTAAACTCCCTTTTCATCTAGTTATGAAGAGTCTAGTCTTCTATGTTAGGAATGGATGTATGAACCCAGTTTTAAGAATGATGTATTCGATATATTCAATTGAGGCATTAATCAGAATTGGATGAGTTCTGATCAAACTTCTGTAATCTTGCTTTGACATAGAACGATATTCTCTGCATAGGTTAATAGAGCAACCTTGATTGGAAGTAGTGGATCGATTACTTTAGTCGAGAAATTGGTTACTACTCTGTACTGGAATTGAAACCAGTAGTGGAAGTTTGGTGTACTATTGCCTTGGTTAGTTTACACCGGTAGAGGTTAGTCGCCTGTCGGGTATTCGAACTGAGAGGGTCTAAAATTCTTTAGTCGACTTTTCAAACTTGTCAAGAACTTTATGCAGTATATCTATCAATTTGAACTAATTGGGGAATTATAATCTGAATTGACTGCAGAATAGGGAGACTCCTATCTGGATGACCTTTTGCATACTTGAAACCAAAACATTTCCTACTTTCTGTTTAATTTACTTTTGAACACTTCACTCAAACTGAACCGCTAAATAATAGATATTCACGGAGTAGACATTAAAACCATGACCTGGGTTGACAAGTAAAACTGAATCCACTACACTGCATTTCTGGACTGCGATTACACTTGGTCATAGTTTGGTGTTGTGTTTTAGCCAAGTTTTTTGCGCCGTTGCCTGGGAGAGAGAACCATAGAGAGAGAAATTGATGAAGAACAACCTTTGGAGTGGATTGGAGCGATCTAAGGACATTGGAGCTTGATCTTTCACCCTCAGAGTGCTTATTTGATATTTCTAGCCTGGAGCAGATTCTCATCCTTCAAATGATGATTTCTCTCCCAAGCTTTGCGATTTCTCTTCTCTCCATGGAGTAAACTCCCTTTTCATCTAGGTATGAAGAGTCTAGTCTGGTATGTTAGGAATGCATGTAGGAACCCTGTTTTAAGAATGATTTATTCAATATATTCAATTGAGGCATTAATCAGAATTGCATGAGTTCTGATCAAACTTCTGTGATCTTGCTTTGACCTAGAAAGGTATTCTCTCCGTAGGTTAATAGAGCAACCTTGATTGGAAGTAGTGGATCGATTACTTTATTCGAGAAATTGATTCACAACTCTGTACTGGAATTGAAACCAGTAGTGGAAGTTTGGTGTGTTATTGCCTTGGCTAGTTTACGCTGATATAGGTTAGCCGCATGTTGGGTATTCGAACTGAGAGGGTCTGGAATTCTTTAGTCGAGTTCCAGACTTTTCAAGAACTTTCCGCGGTATATCTGTCAATTTGAATGAATTAGGGAATTATAATCTGAATTGACTGGAGACTAGGGGAGCTCATATCTGGATGACCTTTTGGATACTTGAAACTAGAACATTTCCTGCTTTCTATTTAATTTACTTATGAACACTTCACTCGAACTGAACCACTAAATAATAGATATTCACGGAGTAGACATTAAATCTAGGACCTGGGTTGACAAGTAAATCTAAACCTACTACACTGGATTTCCGGACTGCGATTACACTTGGTTGTAGTTTGGTGTTGTGTTTTAGCCAAGTTTATGACGTCGTTGCCTGGGAGAGAGAACCCTAGAGAGAGAAATTGATGAAGAACAACCTTGGAATTGATTGGAGCGATCTAACGACATTGGAGCTCGATCTTTCACCCTGTGAGTGCTTATTTCTAGCCTGGAGAAAATTCTCATCCCTCACATGATGATTTCTCTTGTCAAGAACTTTTCGCGGTATATTAGTCAATTGGAACGAATTGGGGAATTATAATCTGGATTGACTATAGACTACGGGGACTCATATCTGCATGACCTTTTGCTTACTTGAAACCAGAACATTTTTTGCTTTCTGTTTAATTTACTTTTGAACACTTCACTCGAACTGAACCGCTAAATAATATATATTCATGGAGTAGACAGTAAATCTAGAAACTGGGTTGACAAGTAAATCTGAACCCATTATACTACATTTCAGGACTGCGATTATACATGGTCATAGTTTGGTGTTGTGTTTTAGCGAGCCAAGTTTTTGGAGTCATTGCCGGGGAGAGAGAACCCTAGAGAGAGAAAGTGATGAAGAACAAACTTGGTAATGGATAAGATTGATCTAAGGACATTGGAGCTCGATCTTTCACCCTCGGGGAGCTGATTTCTAGCCTCGAGCATATTCTCATCCCTCACTTGGGTATGAAGAACCCTAGTTTTGTATGTTAGTAATGGCTGTATAAACCCAGTTTTGTGAATGATTGATTCGATATATTCAATTGAGGAACTAAACAGAATTGCATGAGTCCTGATCAAACTTATGTGTTCCTACTTTGGCCTAGAACGATAGTCTCTGCATAGGTTAATAGGGGCAAGCTCTTCCTCAGCAGCAGGGCGCAGCCCTAGCTTCCCAGTACAGCGTGATCCGATGGCTAAGCTGCAAGACTTAGTGGGTTCTCTTGCTAGTTCCAGCTCACAAAAATTTAGCAATATCGAGCTGCTCAAGGAGAAGGCCTTAGGAAAGTTCATGGAGTTTGAAGCTGGTCAGAGGAACACACAGACTATTCTGTAGGATATACAAATCCAGCTTGGGAGTGTGGCTAAAGTCGTGGCACAAAGGGCTTCGAGTATCTTACATGGTCATACCATACCTAATCATAGAGACCCGGATACCCACTGCAATGTTGTTACTACCTGGAGAGGGAAGGTGACTGTGGAGATCCCTATCCAGGCCAAATAGGGGGAAGAGAGACCTGCTTCGTCACTTCCAGTAGAGGAGGAAGAAATGGAGAAGGAGAGAGAGGTACCTGCTCCTAAGCCACAAATAGTGGTGAAAGAGTATGTTCATCAACTCCCCTTCCTTACTCGGTTGCACAAAGACCGACTGGAGACTGAGTTTGCCAAATTCATGGAAATGCTGAAGCAGGTGAATATCATTATGCCTTTCATTGAAGATCCCAAGTACGCTAAGTTCATGAAAGACCTCCTCACCGACAAGAGGAAGCTTGGGGAGCTATCGACAATGATGCTCAACGAGGAATGTTCTGTCATCCTGCAGAACAAGCTACCAGAGAAGCATAAAGAACCATGGAGTTTTACTATCCCTTGCATTATAGGTAGCTTGCATGTAGGAATGTGGTTGGCGGATTTGGGTGCCCAGT